TACAGCCAAGAAAACCCTTCTGGACTATGTCTACTCTGTAGCGCCTGGATTTGCCATCATCCAGAATCAACTCGACAGCAATGCATTCTTGTTTTGATAGTCAGTTTGGATATAGACCATTTCTCTTCAGTTAAAGGACATTAGAGGTTAAAGAGTTGCCATCCTCATTTCTGCTGCGCTTCTACTTCTGTTTCCCTCTCCCCTTTGTCTGGAGACCTCCAGATCTCTTTTAGACCTTTCCTAGGGTCTTTAGTTTGCCATCACAATTTGAATATTACAATTCTTTCTAGATTAAGTACTAGACAGCCAAATCCAACGTTGGCAATTCAAACCAACTATCTGCATTGCGAAAACCCTACATGGGATCGCTATGAGTTGGAACCAATTCTATGGCACTTAACACAATACCATGAAGTCTGATAGTTAAGATATTACATCAATCCCTGCCCCTTTTTCTTTGGTAAAAAGGAGGTGTCAGTGAACGTAAGACCAATGTTTGATTTTGCCAAATAAGGACATTTAAAACATCTTACTATCTACTAGGAGTCCTGGTGTGGTGCTGTGGGTTAATGTGCCAGACTGCAAAGCCATTTGAACTTCAAGGTCAGCAGTTCAAGCTCACCACCTGCTCCTTGGAAACCCTATACAGGGTCACTATGGGTCAGAATTGACTCGACGGCACTTAACAACAACAACAAGTATCTACTAAGGAATCCTGGTGGCAGTGTAGGATAAGCACTGGACTGCTAACCACAAGGTTTTCAGTTCAAACCCCTAACTGTTCTGCAGGAGAAAGATGAGACTCTGCTTCCATAAAGATGTATCATGTCAAACCCTATATAGGTTGCTATGAATCAGAATTGACTCGATGGCTGTGGATTTGGGGTTTACCATCTACTAGCGCTCATCTGGAGTACTGCTTTGGCACTGTGGGTTAATGTGCTGGACTGTAAAGTCCGTTTGAACCACAAGGTCACTAGTTCAAGCTCACCAGCTGCTCCTTGGAAACTCTATACAGGGTCGCTATGGGCCAGAACTGACTCAA